AAAGCCTTCTCCTCTTCGGTGAGTTTGTCGATACTCTTGCGGTGAGTGAGCACCAGAAGGACAGACACTTTGGCCTCTTTGGCCGCTCGGGCGCCCTCTCCTGATTTGGTCATAAAGAGAGTGTCTTCGGGTTTGGCGTTCACTTTGGCCAACAGTTTAACGAACGTCTCTTTGCTGTTGAGCTGTCCTTCGCTGGTGTCGTAGTGGCCGTCGAGCATGAGGTTGAGGTCGCCGTGATTTGTCTTCGACAGGATCTTCTTCTGGAACTCAATCCAGCCATTGCTGAGCACATAGATCTTGATGTCCATGTCCTTCCACTTCCGAACCTGAATGGCCACATCCGAGTAGATGGGAGTCTCGAGCGAACCTTTCTCGTAGCCCCAGAACCACAGATTGAATTTAAACATTTGCATCCCTTTCCCCTCTTTCTTGCCATCAATGGCTGCCGTGACGAAAGCCGCGACCGACTCCTTCTGTTGGTCTTCGGGCTCAGTCGCGGCCGCGATCTTCGGGCCGCTCTCGTCCTTCTCGGCGTCTTTGCGAAGTCTCTCCACATCTTTCTGACACTTCTTGTCCTTCCATTTGTCGTCCAAATATGCCTTCACTTCTGTTTTGGCGAAAGGCATCAGAATCTTCTCAATGAATCCCATTTTGACGGCTGTGCCCATCAGATCCATAATTATCACACTGGGTTTGGGAAGCTTTGTCTGGACCATGGCTTACGATATCACTGGTAACTGATCTCTCAATTCAATGAGTCTTTTACTGCTTTCAATGCTTACTATTTCTAACAGTCTTTTAAATTGTCTTTGAATTCAAATTGAAATTATTGTCAAATTGTTACGAGTTTTGTATTATTTCTCGAGATGTGTTTAAAATTATTTTGTAAATCACTCAAAAATCAATCGATTGATTAACTTTCTACTTGTATTAACGTTATAAAAGCCTATACATAACCCATACTTCAATATACCTGTAATTCAAATACTGTGAACACCAATGGATTACAGACTAGTTTCGATTGCATTCCTATCACTCTTATCGGGAGTACTTTGTGAGGACTTTTGCCAATCATTTGTTAATAACTACGATAACATTGACTATGGATTCAGTTACTACCGCGGCTTTCCAACATCACCATCGGACACATCACGTGAATACATCAGCTTTCTATTCATTGGCAAAAACTACTGGTCCTTTTACGTGGAGGGTCAGGCGCCCAGTGGTGTCCTCAAGAGCGTTACCATCAAATTCAATAATATCAGCAAAACTATCAATTGGTTCCCACACGACGACTACTCCGTGGCTTTCATCACACCAGCCATGGATCAAACGGACAACTATATCACTGGATTCTATCGCCGGGTATCACAAGAATATTCTGCAAGAATTTTATGACATTTATAGCAATAAAAGCATACTTTCATTGATAACAGAGCGGTTCCATCGATGGCGTGAAAGTGGATTATCAGACAAATACTGAGCTCAAGAATCGAGACACCAATTGGAAAGTCGGTTCAATCGCTTTCAACAACAACTTCAAGCCGTCGATAGCTTTTTACGTAAGGGTAAGGCATGTGGATTCTGTCTGTTTCGCACAGGTAGCTCACGATTACAGCAAGACTTACCGGTGCTATCAATTTGATCGCGAATTGAAAGCCAATGAAAGCACACCTCAAGTGTTGAACAGATTGAGGGCTGAATCGACGGCACAAAACTTGGGGCCCATCGCTAGTCTCGACAATATCTCTGGAGATGGACAACTGATCGCCGTTTTAGTGTTCAATATAATCAATCCGAGCACTGATTCCGACGATTACTTTCTGTATCTCTATAAACAAAACGCAACCATTTCTTACTGCCATTCAGCCAAACAATTGTTCGCTAAAGAGGTTAGTCTTGAAATTATTATAACTGTTGATACGATCATTGAAAGTATTTATTAATTCATGAATTCCTGTCATCACCACAAGTGTCACAACAACTCCTACATAGAGCTCATCGATTGCTCGCACGTGAACCGAACGGTGAGTCCCACGACCGCCACACCGGCCACTCATTTACCTGAGACTACACCACATCCCGCATCCAATATCACCACAATATTCGTGATTATTGTGTTCATTGTATTGGTAGTGTTGGCACTGGTAGCCGGAACCGGTTACTTAGTCTATCGGCAACAGCGCGGTGGGGGTCAACACCAAAATTCTACTAAACCAGGTGCTCGTGGACAGGGATCGGGTAACTCGGTTGTTAGTGAAACAGATGCCGGTGCGCCGTTACCCGTCCAGAGGTCACATGAGGTCACCAACTTTGCCAAAAGAAAAGCCCCTCAAAAGGCCACCAAAACATAGAAAACTGATATTATATTTGTGCCCATAAATTCAATTCAATTATATTTGTAGTTATTTTGCGTTTAATATGAGAATAAACTTTAAATTTAAGAGATTTTTCATTTGAAAAGTTTGTTTTAATTTATGTAATTAGTTATGAGCCCAACGAATGGACAGTCGGTTTTAACTTATTGTTAGTTTACAATATTCACTGATTACTATAAATTTAGAAAATGACAGCGAAATCGTTAAAAATGATAGTGAATTAATATTTTGTCAAAATGTCATTTATAATAAAAAACAATTGCTGCCAGTCTTTACAAAATAGCAAAAAACTTGTAATTAAACACAAATTTAAAATATTCATTCAATTGATGACAAATGTACACAAATATGACATATTTTGGTAATAGTAATGATAATTTGATTATCAAATATAAGTGACAATCCGTTTGTTATAAGATATCTGTCGGCGAATCACTTCTAACACCAGTGCTTGTCGTCGATGTGTTGCTGGCCACGAGTCTGACCTGAGATGACATGGACTCCATGTCTGTAATAGTCGTCGGTATTGACTGACTCACAGTCACTGAGGGCTCGGTGTCTGTAGTGGGAGGGGTTGGGGGCGCCGGAGCTGTAGGTGTGGCCAAAGTGGTCGCCAAAGTGGTGGGGTTGCTGCGCCAGTATCTACATCAGTTGCTTCACCAGTTTCTACAGTTGCTTCAGTTGCCGCGTCATCACCACTGGGAGAACACCACTAGGCACTCAACTATAAAGAACTACAGACGGTACTGAAACGTGAGGTTTGTCTGCGACTTCTTAAGACCTGTTGTGTGAGAGAGACGCAAACCAATGGATCAATGAAATGGTGACAACAGCCAAGTGGTGGCCATCAGACCTGCAGTGGAGCGGCGTTTGTGCGGAGCGGAGACCCCTTTGGCAGAGCCCACAGTCTTCGGCATCTGGTGGTCGTCGCCGTTGAAGTCGGACTCGAAGTCGAACTCATTCTTCGCGGCCGTCTTGGCGTCCGTTTGGGCGGCGATGGGGTCGGCGGTGGCGTCCGGTTTGCCGTGGAGTGCGAGTCCGTGCACTGAAGGGGAACGCCTGCCCGGGCACTGCCACCGCAGCTCAAGCACACCCCTGGCCGACAAGTGCGAGTACAGGCGCCGTATGTCCGCACCGTTGGGCTCCCACTCGCGCCGTCCGTTCACTTCGCGTGTATTCACCGCAGAGTTGTTGTCGTAGTTGTCGTCGTCCGAGCACTCGATGGCGAAGTCTTTGTCGACATCACCGCCCGATTCGGTCATCGCTGCCACCGATGCGCTCATGAGGTTGTGGTCAGTGTCTGCCAAACGGACTCACAATCAGTGGACAAACAAATCAAATGTATGTTTGTTTTTGTTTGCGGTTCCCATTCATAGATTACGTGACACACAGACACCCATTCATGCATTACGTTCGCGCGAGTGCGGGAGAGTTAAGAAGTTTATTGAATGATTTAAAGTGAAATATTTAGCAATCAAATGAATACTGAATGAAAAATTATGGGATAAAAGCACTATAAAAGTGTTACAACTCTTAAAAACATTAAAAAACTAATTGATATCCGAGAAAAATAAAAAATAAAAATCATTTGCAATTAGTCTGCGTTCAGGTCGACGGCCCCATTGAGTCCATTGAGTTGGTGGTCAGCCATCGCATTCATTATGTGTCCGACGGCTGCCATCAAGGCGTTCATTGCTTGAGTCAATACATTGCGAATATGTCTAAATATAAAACATTTTTTTATAAATTTATTATTCATTTATAGTGTTTTTAAGTTAAAAAACTTTATTATACACTAAAGTCTCGTTAGTTGAATGCAATTTTGTTTGCAATATATTTGGTGTAATGTATAAAGAATTTTGATTTATTTCAAGTCATTTTTATGATATGTTTATTAAGTTTTATTACAATTGCTAGGGATGATTCACATATTACGTTCGAACTTGGGGGAGGGGGGAGGGGGTTGAGACCTTAAGAACGTTCGCACTTAAATAATAAAAGGATTAATTTTTATCAAAGTTAATATTTTAAAAACAACTGTTTGATAACTTTGAATGAATAAATGAACTTTGAATAGATTTATTTCCTGTTTATGAAC